CCGGTGGCGCTCCATCACAGGCCTCTAAACGCCAGGGGAGGGGCTCAGAGGCCGCTGGGCGGAGAGCGCGCAGGAGCCACAGCGAGCCAGGCGGGGGTTCCCATAACGAGGCTTTAATGAGGGGAGCAGGGCCCGCCTTTGTGGCCAAGCCGGCGAAGGCCGGGCCCGCGCTCRGCGAGGTCACTTCCTCCCCAGGGCCCCGAGCGCCAGGGACAGCTGCTGCCGCCAGGGCCGGTACCCACGGCGGGGCTCTTTGGGGTCCGCACCACCCTGGCCCACTCCAAACTGCGGCAGGAAAAGCAGCGCCATGCCACAATGCAAACGTGCTCATTACCATACCCTCAATATGCAGGAAGAAAATGCGCGATTCTCACCGAGCCCCGTCACCCGGCTCTGGCCTCGGCATCCAATAAGGCGACATATTCATCTCCCGAGATGATGAGGAGGGGGCGCCAGGGAGGCAGCCGCTGAGAGGAGGAGAAAGGAGGGGACAGATCCTGGAGAGGGAGAGAAGAAGGGACAGACACCGAGAGGAGAACCCGACAGGGACCAAGAAATTGAGGAAGGAACTAGGGGAGGGTTAGGACGAAAAAAGGAGAAAAGAAATTTGGACAAACGCAGGTGGGGGGGGGGGGGGACACCATCACCAGGAGAGAGAAACAGGGACAAAAGAGGAGAGAGACGGAGCCGGATGGAGAAAAGCCAACTAAGTGGCCCTGAGAAAAAGTGTAAAACCGAACAAATTAGGGAGCCGAAGAAAGACCAAAAGAATGACCTAGAAATCAAATATACCGACAGTGCGAGGGACGGAGGAAAACAAAGGAAGGGAGGGAAGCGAAACTGCAGGTGGAAAAAAAGTCGATCCTGGAGAGGGAAAGAAAAATAAAATGATTCACGCTAAGGTCCGGGGTTTTCGATCTAGGCCATCGGCCATCGTTTGGGGCGCTGCACATCGCGGGCCTCGCCGAGACCCAGGGGAGTGGGCCAGGTCCGGTGGCTCCGGGGCGGAGCAGAGCTGCAGGAGACCCGGTGGCCGGCCTCCGTCCTCTCCCTGGGCGGCCTGGCCGCTGGGGAGAGCGTAGGCCTGGCCCGGGGCCCAACCAGCGCTTCGCGACCCGCTGCCGCTGCGGCCATTCCGCTGCGGCCATTCCGGTGGGCGGCCTCTCCCGTGCAAGAGAGCGAAGTTGGCAAAGTTTCCCCCAAAGTTTCCCGGTCACTTCTCCAGGCACCGGGAAGGCCTCCGAGGCCCTGGCGGCTGGTAGGGAGCGGCAGCATTTTCCGGGGTGGCTCTGGAGATCCCTGACCCGCGCCTCCTGGGATGGATTCCTGGCCAAATACGAATTCCTCCCGGTGCGATGCCAGGCCACGCACTGGGTCCGTGTGGCTGCTAATAGCGGAGAGAGAGAATGCGAAAGAGAGAGAGAGGGAGAGAGGGAGAGAGAGGGAAGGAAAAAAATATTCTCAGCTCAATTTAAGTCTCATGGAAAGGGCTTACAACTGTAATTAAATCATTAAATTCTTGTCTACGCTTCACAGAGCGGAGAGAAATTAACTTCCCACCAACCTCATTTTCTATTTGAACATGAAATAATGATTTTCTGCCCGTCTAATTACAAAGCCAACATCTGATCAAGCCAGCATCCAGAGGGGATTATCGCATGCACGAGTATTAGACCTCATTACCAGCTTGAGTGCAAAATTATTACATCTTGTAATTGGATGGTGAGATTTATATACAGATCGGCCCGGTTTCTGTAAGATTGTAATTACAAGCTTCGTTGGTTAGCTACTTATCAGAACTTTGCAGGAAAACAAAACAAATGACTGAGGAAAACGAGCATTTCATTAACCTGTAACCCGAGCGCGGGGGGGAGGGAGCGGTGGGAGCGCGCGCCGGGCGGCGTCTGCAGGAAGCCCAGGGATAGCCAGCCTGCACTGCCGCCGGGGGACTCCGGGCCTGGGGAAGAAAGGACAGAAGATGGGCCTTGGCTGGGAAACACAGAGCTACAGGGGTTCCCCACCACCCGGACGCGCGCGCACCGCGGGGCTGAGCGAGGAGGGGGCAGGAAAGGGGCCTTGGTGGCTCCAAGCTTGTGTGCAGTGCGTGGAGCAGCCCCTGAAACTGGTGGGCCTCAGGCCCGGGGTACACGTCGGGCAGCGGCTCCGGTACGCGTCCAGCGCACACTGCTGTGTGCGCCACGTGTGTGCGACTGACACCCTTTGGGTACACTCCCTGCGCCCTGGGCTGTGTTCAAAGAACGTCGGCAGCGAGTCTCCACAGCGCTTTGTGCGTTAGGAATACTGGAAGAAGGAGAGATGATGGAGAAGCTTCTGCGTGCGGAGAGTTTGTGCGCGCTGTCGTTTCCAAATCAACTTCCCGTGCACCTGCTTTTCCTTGCTATACGAGAGTACCACTCTGACCTAATCTCTTGGATTAAAAATCCCTGGAAAATATTCGACTGCCAGTGGACCCACGAGTTGAGTCCGGATTCGGGTTCCACTAGCACGGTCCAGTTGAGGGACCAGCACCACGTCGGGGCTCCTTGGAGATGCTGAATCCCGACTGGGGGGTGGGGTGCGTATTTCAGGGCCTGGCCAAGAATATTCCCAGCTGGAGACCAGGGTAGCCAGGGAGGTGGCTTCTGCTCCCTGGGGCTCCTGGAAAGATTAAGCAAGGTTCTTGGGTTCTGGTCATGTTGTGAAGGTTCACCCCCTGGGCCGGGGGCGGGGGCACCCAGGCGTGGTTGGTTTCTTTTAGCAGTCTGGCCTCTTTCCCCACGCAGCTGGGTCATTAACTGGTTAATGCAGAAGGAGCATCTCCGAGGCTCATGATTACTTTTTTTCTTTTCCTTCAGGAAGAATGAATTAAATATCAGGCGTTTCACCCTGGCACTTAACAGTGCAACCCCGTTCTCCCAGCTCAGAATCTTTCTCCCACCGCCCTCCTGGTCTGGTGCCACCACGCCCTGCAAACTCTAGGATTTCGGGGTTGTGGAACCTCAAGGTCTGCACCTAGAACACACCCTGGGGAATGTTACCCCTGATTTTGCAACCCTAAGATTTTTCGTGGGAAGGTGAGCCCAAGATTCCCTATGACATTCTCTGAAAGGTTTAACTGGAAACGAAATCAGGCGCCGGGGAGACATTTCAAGACCACGGAGCTGCCCCTGATGTCGCCTCCTTCGGCAAGGTTCACCTAAAGCCAACACCTAGCATCAGGCAGAGGCGCAGGACAGAGGAAGGGAAGCAGTTCAGACCCAATTGGGGAAGACACCAGTTCCCCCCCTCCATGGAATCCTAAACCTGGTCGTCCCCGAACTTTCTTTTGTCTTTTCCCTCATTATTCTTGACGTTCGAATCCACGGAAGTCATCTACCAGTCGGAAGAAAGTGGCAGGAATGGGGGTGGGGTAAGAAGAAACATTTTATTATGTAACTGAGTCCCCAGAGCGGCAGTGACCAGAGACAGCGGGGGGCCGAGACCCCCGGATCCCTCCACTCCAGTGGAATTTGGATTCGATTCCTTGATCGATCAGTGCCCGGTGGCAGCTTTCCGCCTTCAAGCTGAGGCTGGCCACTCCAAGGCAGAGTCGCCGCCCCCCAAGTTGTCCCCGAGGCACGACCGCCTCAGGCCAGGCCCGTGAGTGGGTCGCCGCCGCGGCCTAAGGCACTTAGTCCAGAGACGCAGCAGTTCCGGGCATTTCAATGCCTTTCTTGACGGTACGCCCCAATCCGTGAAGGTGGGCGCCTGAATACTGATATTTCAAGTTTGATTTAGGAAATTCTCCACCACACAACCCAAAGTCTTGCCTCCCATCCCCCCACCCCTCCCCGGCGGTGGGAGGATCCTGGCAGAAGGAGAACGGGTTGGCGCAGGAACCTGGGAGCGGGGAAAGGGCTAGTGAAACGAGGATCTCKACAGACCCCAAAAATGCCCATAGAGAAACTTCTCGAAGTACTCTCTGAAAGTTCTTGGGCCCTCCGACGTCTGGCTCCCAGTTCCTCCCCTCTTCCACTCCTTCTGGCTCTACTGATTCTTCGCGGCTCTCTAAGACCTCCGGAGGGTCCACCCTTTGGCCACCGAGCCCAGCCCGCCATTTCCAACAGGGATTTCGCACCCCGACACCCGGGAGGCGTTAATGTGGCAAATTGCACTGTTTGGTCCTACCGGGTGGAGGGTGGACTCCCCACCCCCTGGGCAGTGAGATGGCCTTTAATAACGCCTTTAGGACGCACTCCCTCACCCCTCGCGCACTCTTCTCCCTCCCTCCCGACCGCTCCGAGGCCGGGAGTCGAAGGGTGAGAGCTGAAAAGGGGCCCTGGGCAAAAAAAACCCGGGGGTCTCCCTTGGCCCAGGGTCCGYCCCGACCCGGGCCTGTCGCTGCGGCTGGGGGAGAAACGCCGCGGAGCCGGAGGCGGGGAGGGGCGAGCTGACCCAGTCCTAACCCGCGTCCCAGCGCCTCTCRCTCCCCCTCCCGGCGCAGGCAGGAGGGGGCGGGAAGGGACTTGCTGCGCCCSGGCTCCCGCCCCGCCCCGCCCCGCGCGCGGTATCCGCGGGGGTGGGCGGCCTCGCCCGTAAGGCGCCCAGGCGATTGGCGACTCGGCGAGGAGACGCCAGGAAAAGTCGAATAAGAGGGCGAGACGTCAGACCCGAGATTTGGGAAAGGGTGAGGGAGGGGGTGGAAGGGCGGGGACGGACACACAGACACGGACGCGGACACACACCCCCCGCGCAGCGCCCTGAGTGTCGGCAACTTTAGGCCGCCTTAGACCAGGGCGCAGAAAGGCCAGGAAGGTCGGAGGAGGTGGTGCGCGTGAGCCAGGGGAAGGGTTTAAGAGAGGAGGGAGAGAAGAAAAAGTGAAGGGAACAAAAAAGGGGGAAAGCAATAGGGAGCCAGGGAAAGAGAAGGAAAAGGAGAGAGTTCCTAGCGTCCAGGACAGCGGAGGAGCGGAAGCGATCCTGGGGGAAGAGGCGCAGCGCGGGGAGGGGAGAGGAAGGGAGAGGAGGGGGAGTGAAAACTAGAGGAGGGCGAAGGAAGCGAGGCGCGACTCAGCTCGCGGAGAGGAGGGCAGTGAGGAACGCCGCGCGGGGAGAGGCGGCTCCGGCGGCCGAGAGGAGGGAGCGCGGCGCAGAGAGGAGGGGCTTGCGGCCCCGTAGAAATGTCAATCAGAGCCCGGAGCCCGGGGAATCTCCGCCAATCTGTTCGGACCTGACCTGGCTCCTCGCCGCCGCCGCCGCCGYCGCCGCCGCCGCGGAGCAGATCAATAGGGGAACCCGGAGCGCAGAGCAGAGCGGGAGGTAGCGCGGCCCCAGCTCTGCCCAGCCCCCGATGCGCGCCGGAGCCCGCGGGCGGCGCTGAGCAGGGCGGCCCCGGGGGCCGGGCCCCCTCTCCGTCCGTGCCCCGCGGGCCACCATGTCCTTCCCCCAGCTCGGATACCAGTACATCCGCCCGCTCTACCCGCCCGAGCGCCCGGGAGCTGCAGGCGGCGGCGGCAGCGCGGGGGCCCGGGGAGGACCTGGCTCGGGAGCCTCAGAACTGACCGCCTCTGGGTCCCTATCCAACGTGCTCTCGTCCGTGTACGGGGCGCCCTACGCTGCGGCCGCTGCCGCCGCCGCCGCCGCCCAGGGCTACGGCGCCTTCCTGCCCTACGCCGCGGAGCTGCCCATCTTCCCGCAGCTGGTAAGAGCTGGAGGAACCCGGGAAAGAGGGTTGGAGCTAGGGCGCCGGGCGAGGTGAGCGCGCGGGAGTAGACTACGAGGGTCCGGGCCAGGAGGGTGGAGGAGGCGACAGTTGGAGCTTACCCGCGCTCCCTCCGCGCGTGTCCCCTTCCTTTTCCRTGTGCGTACAGGGCGCTCAGTATGAGCTGAAGGACAGCCCTGGGGTGCAGCATCCGGCCGCGGCCGCAGCGTTTCCGCACCCGCACCCCGCTTTCTATCCGTATGGCCAGTACCAGTTTGGAGACCCGTCCCGTCCCAAGAACGCCACCCGAGAGAGCACCAGCACGCTCAAGGCCTGGCTCAACGAGCACCGCAAAAACCCCTACCCCACCAAGGGCGAGAAGATCATGCTGGCCATCATCACCAAGATGACCCTCACCCAGGTGTCCACCTGGTTCGCCAATGCGCGCCGGCGTCTCAAGAAGGAGAACAAGATGACTTGGGCGCCCCGCAGTCGCACGGATGAAGAGGGCAACGCTTACGGGAGCGAGAGGGAGGAGGAAGACGAGGAGGAGGACGAGGAAGAYGGCAAGCGCGAGCTGGAGCTAGAGGAGGAGGAGCTCGTGGGGGAGGAGGAGGACACGGGGGGCGAGGGCCTGGCAGACGACGACGAAGACGAGGAGATCGATTTGGAGAACTTAGACGGCACGGCTGCCGGGCCTGAGCTGGCCTTGACGGGGGCAGCGCGCAGGGACGGTGACCTAGGCCTGGGACCCATTTCGGACTCCAAAAATAGCGACTCCGAGGACAGCACCGAGGGCTTGGAGGAGCGGCCGCTGCCAGTCCTGAGTCTGGCCCCAGCGCCACCGCCAGTGACCGGGACTCCACCGTCTCCGCCCTCGCCTCCCACCGGCCTAGACTCCTGCGCACCAGCACCGGCTCCCTCCTCGGCCCTGCAGAAGCCCAAAATCTGGTCCCTGGCCGAGACGGCCACGAGCCCGGACAACCCACGCCGCTCGCCTCCTGGCACGGGATGTTCTCCTCCTGGGGCAGCGGTCGCACCCCCGGCTCTACAGCTTTCTCCCGCAGCAGCCGCCGCCGCCGCCGCGGCTCACAGACTGGTCTCGGCGCCACTGGGCAAATTCCCGGCTTGGACCAACCGGCCGTTCCCAGGCCCGCCTCCCGGCCCTCGCCCGCACCCTCTCTCCCTGCTCGGTTCGGCCCCTCAGCACCTGCTGGGACTTCCCGGAGCCGCTGGTCACCCGGCTGCCGCCACCGCCTACGCTAGACCCACGGAGCCCGAGGGCGGAACAGGTGACTGCCGAGCGCTGGGCTCAGCGGGAGCGGGTTCTGGGAGACCCGATCCGGGGATGGACAGGGCTGGGGGGGGGGGGGCAGGTGCTTTTCTTTCTGCTCCGCGTCCGGCTCCCACGCTCTGGCACCTGAACCGAGCGTTCTAAAAGCCCTCTTTTTCCCTCTCTTCGCTTCTCTCAGATCGCTGTAGTGCCTTGGAAGTGGAGAAAAAGTTACTCAAGACAGCTTTCCAGCCCGTGCCCAGGCGGTAAGAGACCCCGAGCTCGGTGGGGTGGGGAGCCGGCAGGCGGGAGGAGGAAGAAGGCCGAGCCTTACGCACAGCTTATTGCCCCAGGGGGAACCTGGCCGAGAAGTTTTTTAAAAGGGAACAAAATGCACTCCACTATCACTTCTCACGGGCGCAGAAACCGCTGCCAGTWCCAGCCCAGGCCCCCGGGTGCGGCCTGCGGATTTAGAGCTGGGAACCCTAAGCTGGCCCGGCAAACAGGCCCCTAGAACTAGCGGCCTCCCAGTGAGGCCCACTCCTTCCTGACCTTCGGGTCTAGCGCCTTCGGCCTGTCGGTTTAACCCCCAACACACACTTCTCCGCTGAACACGATTATGCATTAAGACACCTCCCCGGCCCAGGCCCCAGCCCCAGGTAGGGTGTGTCCGCCCTAGGCGACCTCCGAGTCCCTGTATCTCACCTCCTTTGCTCCCACCAACTCTCTTCCAGGCCCCAGAACCACCTGGATGCGGCTTTGGTCTTATCGGCTCTCTCCTCATCCTAGTTTCTTTCTTTTTTTTTTTTAAATACTTTTTAAATCGTTGTAATAATTGTAAAAACAACAACAACAACAACAAATCGCTCTGTATAGTTACAACTTGTAAGCATGTCCGTGTATGAATACCTAAAAAGAAAACTAAACAAAAAAAGAAAAAGAAATAAAATCAGTCCCCCTCATCCCTCCCCAAGTCGATTCTGTGCCACCCCACATTAACTGCCATTGTCAGGTTGGTTTGTTCGATTGCTTTGGGGAGGGGGGTGGAGTTTCAGTGAGAATAAGCGTGTCTGACTGTTTTGTATATACAGAAAAATGTACATATGTGTGAACCAAATTGTACAAGAAAGTATCTATTTTTGGCTAAATAAATGAGCTGTTGCCACTTTGACTATACCGGCCCGCCTGCCTCCGGATAGATCTGTTTGGTGGTTCTTTCGGGTTTGGGGGGATTCCCCCCCCCCAGTTGTTTGGAGAATCTCCCGAATCAGCGGGAAAGGGGAAGGGAGGTGGTTAGAGAACAGCAATGGCGAAGGAGGCGCCAAAGTGGCGGGACTGGGGGTGCGCCGCAGGCGGGAAAGCAGTGGGAGAAGTACCTGGAGCGCCCTAGATCAAGGGCGGAGGAGACAGGTGGGAAACTGGGCAAGTATTCCTACCAGAAGCTGGAACACTGGGTCCACGGAGCAACCGCGGGGCCTTGGAGCCTTCTCTGGTGACTTAGAAGAAAAACTAAGCGTCTGGACGCGGAGGACTTAGGCTGGGCGGTTCTGGTCACCCCCTGTTCCCATTCTTGGACAGGCACAATCGAGGTTTTCTCAGTCTTACATACAAAGGTTGTGCAAGCTCCTCTTCAAGGCCTCTTTCCAGCCGCCCTGCACCCTTCAGACGCTTCCTTATAAATGCAAAGTTGTGGATTGGCCGTGTGGGGGGGATATGGAGTGCAAGGGGCCAGGGGTACCCAACCTTCCTTCTGAGTGAAGGGTGACTTCGATCCAGTTGATAGTTGGAGGACCGTGGCGATGTCTGTGCATCTAGACGCTCCAGTGAGATTACCCTAAAATGCCCAGGAAGGGGCAACTTTCTGGGGTCCCGGAGCTGAGTTAGGGGGTCGGGCTGTTGCACCTTTCCAGCCAGGATTCCAGCTGGAGGCGGGTTGGGGGTGGGAGCCAGGAAATTTGGGGCTGGAGCTCCCTCTACAGGACAAAAGGGACGCTCTGCGTCTCGCTTCCCTGGCCTCGCCTCTGCAGCCAGGCCAGGCGTCGCGCCCCCTCCGCGCCCTATTTTTCCTCTTTCAGTTTGCCAGCCAATCTTGATCACTTTTGACTTGAAGATGTGGGGGACGCTCGAGAGAGGGACGCCTCCAGGTTGGAAGCAGAGACGGCTTGTTTTTACACCCYTCTACCGATGTTAGTAAATAGGCTGGCCAGATGCGGGGAGCAAGACCCGCAGAGCACAGAGCCAGGCGGGCATGRGACCATCTTTCGGGTTCCCGAGGAAGCTTAGGATGACCTCGTACTCCCAAAGCCACCGAACAAGGCACAGAGCAATGTCATCCACCATTGAAGCTCTGCGGGAGCTGGGGCAGTCTGGGGCAGTCTGGCAAGGATCGGTCCATGCGGGCACAGGTGTTTGAGCTGGACACCTGCACCCAGGATGGGACATTTGGGGTGCAGCAGCGCCCCAGGGGCAAGGGGGAGGGAGTGTTAGGGTAGTGCCAGCCGCACACAGGGCTTTGACCCTGGCAAAGATGTCCTGCAGCAGGGACTAGCTCCTTCAACCTTTCCCCAGAGGCAAGAGACGCCCCCCAGAGTGCTCCCTCTTGTCCTTAAGGTGTTTCTGGAGTTGGGCACATTTCCAGATCACAGGCCCAGACTGACCACAGAACCCCCAGACATAAAACCCGCTAAGCTGGAAGTGGGCAAACTTCAACTTGCCAGGGCTTTGAACCTGAGCTTGGGACCCCAGGACCAGGRCTGCAGCCCCTAGTTACTACAATGACAGCCTTTATAAGGCCCACACCTTGCAATCCTCGGCTCCAACCTGACACACTTGATTGGCACACACTGTGCCCCCTTCCCCTGTTTATCTCCTGTGAACCCCTGGGCAGATAATTGAACTCCTCCAGCCCTTATATCCTCATCTGCAAAATGGGAGTCAGGCTACCTGGCAGGGTAGTAATAGTGAAGCTGAGAGAGGAAGTGTCCAGTGCTGATGGGTGGTAGGTGGGTAGTTCCAGAATCTTCCAGAATCTGAGACTCCACTCCTCAGACACCTGCAATATTCTGCCCACCCCACCCATTGGTCACGGAAGTGTCTTCCTTCAGGCAAGCTCAGCTCCACCCAGGAATAAAGGACACTTCCCCAGGCAGGGGCCCATGGGGCAGGGAGAGAGGCTATGACAGAAGTCAGGCAGCTTCTCCATTTTGAATATCCAAGGAAGGAAAACTGGGTATGTTCCAAGGAAGGTGAGCATGGAGAGGCTGGACAGAGCTTGACGAGATCTGGTGATAGGTCCCTGGGGCTTGCTCTAGTGAAGACCCTGGAGTTTGGTCAACTTGTCCGATCATCACGTTGCAGGGACAATGGTCCTTGGATGAAACCAATTTTATCCACACTGCAAAAGCAGTAAATGCACATGTGTGGAGGAGAATGGGCATACACCTGGAGGAGTCCCCGTGATGTGTGTGTGTGCTTCCCTTAGCCCATAGAACACTTGGGCCCTTCAAGTGGCTGCAAACCGACCCCAATAAGATAAACTAATCAGAACAGATTATCATAGTTTCCAACAAGACAAAGAAGAGGAGATGGCTCCCCTTTGCAGCTCTTGTATTTCACCAGGGAGCCAGCTCTCATTTCTTTCCTTCCCCAGACCTCTCCCTCAGCCCACCTCATTCCCTCCTCCCAGGATCCCAGGAACAACTGCCTCCATCCCTTATTGTTGGAGGGAAGGAGGGAGAGAGACAGAGAGAGAGAGAGAGAGAGAGAGAGAGAGAGAGAGAGAGAGAGAGAGAGAGAGAATATGAGAATATGAGAATATGTGTATCTCATCCCTGGTCTGATTAAGCTTCAATTAGAAATAAAATATGTCAATCACCTGCCAGGAAGGGGTTTCTGCTGTCGGGGTTGGTTATGCAAAGCACTCCAAGGTGTGTGGGATAATCAATTAGGTCAGAGGAAGGAATGTGTGGCAGGGCTTCCCTCATTATTTGCATGSAGCTGGGTGGGGGTGGTGGGGAGGATTGCATCACAAGGGCAGGAAGCCAGAGAATAAAATTATCTCCCTAAGTGATCGTCCACCTCTGGGACCAGATGTTAATGGTTTTCAATTGAATTTCTTTTCAGGGGAATATAGGGAGGAAAAAGCAAGGTCCAACCAAAAAGAGATAAGAAAGGAAGGGGTGCCAGAGTCTTGACAACTCACCCGTCCCAGGTGTGAGAAGAGGACAGGGCGCTGAGTATTAGGATGGTTTTCTCTGGGCCCCTAGAGGGCAGGCAGGCCCAGAGACTCCACTCTCCAAGGCCTGCCTGGGTTTGCAGAGCTAGCCAGAGCAATTGAATGCTTGAGTAGAAACTGGATGTCAGATATCTTCTGGTTTGGGTTCATTGGGAGTTTCTTCCAAGACCTTGCTTTTTTATCCTTCTAGAAATAGCCTGTCTGTCCTAGAATTTCTTTTTGCATATACTCGCTCACCCCTATCCAGTCAAAATGGGCGATTGCAGCTATGTAAAAATTGTGTCTGTGTTTGGAGCTAACCCTTCAAAGGGGGTCCTAAATCGCCTACTCTAGGCCCCACTGTAAACATTTGGAAAAATGGAGGGTTGGATTAGACAACTCAACCCCAACAGTGTCCAGAATTAGGCATAAAGAAAAGAAGAATGACTCCAAAGATAAATATGGGGTAAGGGGGTCCCATATGTTCACTGGATACTGCCTCCTGATCCTAACTGGCCACTGTCACCTGACTCAGCCAGCCAACCTGACCACATTAAAAACGTCCACCTTTGTGTGACCAGCCTGGCTTTGATGTAGCTGCTGCTCCTCTCTGAAGAGGCCCCAGTCTTTCTATAGGCCACCTCCACTGTGGATGGAAAATCTCCATAAACACATCCCTGCTGAGGCAGGACACAGCTGGAAGAGGCATTATGAGCAGAACAGTTTCCTTAACCAGGCAATTTTGTCTCCCCTCCCACCCTGGGGACAGTTGACAATGTCTGAAGTGATTAGGATGGGGTTGCTAGTGGAATCTCAGGAGCAGAGGCCAGGGATGCTGCTAAAGGCCCTATAAGGTGTAAGACAATCCTCCAACACAGTGAATCAGCACCCTGGATGCACCCATTCTTACCTGATCTCCTAAGCCATTCAGGTCAGGCCTAGTTGGTACTTGAAATACAGAATTACTTGGTCCAAACTGTCAGTGGTGCTGGAAGCACAGTGAGTTGTGGGGGGAGAGGTATCTGGGGCCGGCACGACAAGTATATTCTCCCCAGAAACCGCAGCTGTATTGAGAGAAACACTGAAACTAAGTAGAATGGTTGGGTTCTCTAAAAACTTTTGGCCCTGGTATGGGGGGGGGTAGTGGTGGGGGGTTGGGGGTGGGGGCACAGCAAACAGGAAACTGGGAGCTTGGGAAAAAGTAAGAGTGAATCTCAATCCCGTGGGTGGACCTGGAACCTTCTCTGGTCAGCAGTGACAGGGAGGGAGTCAGCCCGCAGAAGGACGTCCATCCGTCCATCTTGGGGACCTTTCTCCCTGGGATATTGATGTCAGAAGCAGGTGACAGGAAGCTTCTTACAGATGAAAGCTGAAGTCCTGTGGTTTTTCTCCTCCTAACAGCTGCCACCCCTCAGAGGCTGCTGGGTCCTCTCTGCACATAAATGGCACTATTTATTTACTTGCTTATTTTACCTAGGGGAGAGGGGGGGTGCCTATCAGGCAGCAGGAGGGAGACAAAGGCAGGTTAGGGATGACTGGGGGCTGGCCTGGCTGGGCCGGCTGTGACGTCATGGCTTTGTGCGGGTGGGGAGCCCCACATTCTCTCACTGCTAGGCCGCTAACAAGTGGGCCCACAGCCCCGGGGCCTTTGGAGAGCACTCATCTGGCAGATTGCGCTTCTCTCAGTCACTCAGATTTATTTTGCCAAAGTTACAGGGCAATTATGGAAATGCGCCCTTTGAAGCCAGGCTGATTTCTCTTTATTTTCTTCTCCCTGACAAAGGAGAGCTTCCCAGCCTCTGGTGGGCCCCTCTCTCTCTCTGTGTGTCTCTCTCCCCCTCCCTCTCTTTAATAATTCTTAAGAGTTTCCAGGGGTCATGGGGAAAAATCTTTTTCAAGGTGGTAGGAGTGTGTGTGGATAATGTTAATATTCTTTTAATATTTTTGAAGTGGGATTCTGATG